GAGGTAATATCGTGTAGGTGCCCATGCCACCACTGGGCTGGGATCACTTGTCTTGATGGTGTGGATAGTATCCCCCGTCTCCGTGTGGAAAACATCAAGGCCAGCACCCTGTTCGCTGCCTCCCACGCAGTAGCTGCCGTCAAATGTGAAGCCTGTGGTGTCCTTGATCAGGGATACGCACCAGCGACATGAATGGAGAACTTACTGATGCTTCGGACAGGGCCTACAGACGTGGTGACCGTGTTCTGGCAGATCCAGTTTGTCGTGTCCCAGAGCGCAATGATGGAATCATACCCACCCGTTGCTAGATAACGAGCAGTCGGCTGCATCTCGGCCGAGAGGCATTGTGAAGCGTGGCCATCCAGCGTGAACTCGATGGCCCCGTCTGGGCCCTCGCGGTGAAGCAGCGGCTGAAAGTCGGGATACGAAAGGATACGGACACGACCCTCGCCAGTGGTCAGGAAGACCTTCTCTCCACTCCAGCAGAACGATACCTGATTTGTCTGCACATCTTGCGTATGAGTAGACAAGGGTGTCGTTTGGGTAGGAGACAGTATAAAGAGTGTGTCCGCCTGCGCCCTTGGTCAGCACGTTCTCAGTAGCATCGATTCTGTGGACTCTGAACGGCACCACTCACTTTGTTGCCTACGACGAGGGTCTCGCCATCTGGGGCCCATGCCAGCGTGAAGGCTTCACCAAGACCCTTGACTTCGTTGGTGCAAGTTTTGCTTCGAACGTCCCAGAATTTGACCACGCCATCAAAACTAATGCTACAGAGCTCTGCATCCTTGGCAGGATTGAAGGCAACCTTGGCAATCGCAGCTGTGTGCCCCTTGAGCTCGGTCGAGAAGCGTGCAACGGGCTTTTCGGGATTCCCTGCAGAAAGGTCAGCCAGCCTTACGGAAATGCGAGTGCCAGGACAAAGAGCGCGAATAGCGCAACTGACAGACACGAAGTATCCTATCCGCTCCCGTGGCAATGAGTGAACCAGTTGGATTCCAAGAAATGGACCATATGCTACTTTTTTTTCTTGTCAAACATTGAAATCTTCTATGAAGACGAGGGTTTAATACCTGCGTAAAGAGCCGCTGTTGCGTGTACTGGAGCCGAAGCTGGGGTCTTGATACGTTTGTATCTTGATATCTTTCAAGTACGTAGTGAATCGTTCCCTCGGGAGACTTGTCTTCGGGCGAGAGAGCGGTGCCATGTCGATGTACGGGCTGATAGTCCGCTATGAGCGAGTGGCTGTGCGACTTTCTGTGCGCGTGCTTGTGTGCGTATGTGTGGGAAGGGAAGAGGTCGGATGAGACAGAGAAGCAAGCATGCACAGAACCGGTATTGAGATTGAGAGGTAGAGAGAGGCGCGAGGTATTGTGCGATGTCGGATGAGTGTCTTAAGTCTCACAGAAGTTGGTACGTGGCAGTTCCTACCAACTACACAGTCCGGTAACTCGGGGCGAGCCTAAGGTAGACTGAGCACTCCAAATAAAGCGATGCTTCTTGACAACCCCTCTGACGGGAAATATAGCGATGTGTAGTGCCCTGCAAATACTCGTAGGGTACCGAAGCGTACAAAATGCACCAGCTGCTTACCTCTTGAGATGGGGTGGGTCCCCGTCGCCGCTCGGTGACCCACCTCCTAGCCTCACCGACCTCGCCTCTCGCCCTTCCACACAGGTACCCAGCCCCTGACCAGGGCAGGCCAGTGCATACGTACGTCCTAGCTGGCGGGGACCCGGACATGCTGCACGGTCTGAGACCAGCAGCTCCGAAGCTGGTCACTACTTGCAAACGCGGTTCGGAGCTTGCGATGCTCCATCATTGAAGCATCGACTTACCGCGCCTGACGCCGTGCCATTGTCGAACTTCCATAGTACAGTGCACTCCCTCAATACAGTCAGGCCATGCGATTCGATCGATTCTCCTGCGAAGAAGCTTCAGTCGCTGCTAAGCAGTGCACGCCTGTACTCGCCGCATCCTCCGAGCGTCCTCAGTCAACCTAACGAGGACGGCCATGATCGGACGGTAACCCTGGACTGGAGCCTTCCATCAATTTTCCGCTGCGCGCACTGCCAACATGTACTGGCCTATCGGCACTCCAAAGACCTACGCGACGAGTAGTAGTTCTGGACCCGAGTTCAACCTCGTCGTCTCTGACGATGGCATCACCAACCCCTTTGACCGAGCCTCAATAAACGAGCCACCGCAACACCCATACGTATCCTCGACCGAACCCTGCCATGAGAACGGGGCGCAAAATGCACTGCCGGAACCATCTGTCGAGTCGACGACTCCCCTAACGCCCGCAACGCCCGCAACGCCTGCAGTTCGGGCCGTGGAGCGAGGGGATCCAGATCAACCCGATTCCGCAGCATTCGCGTCAACGCAGATATCCGACGCTGTGAAGTTGCCCCTCAAAGATCCTGTCCTGGGACTGCGAACTTCTCCGGAGTGGATAGTTGTTTGCCGTCATCAGAGCGACCTCAATACTGTTTGTGGACAAGAATGGGTGCGTCCAATTCTTGGCAGTCTGCAGATGAATTTCTGACCCTTTAAAGCGTACGGCTATCCTCGCCGTCGGCGGTCGATCTGTGTCGTCCCTCAGTACCTATGGCGAGAATTTCGATCTGCTTATGCGTCCCGACTCGGCCATCCTGGTTGTCCACACGACACAGGGCTATCTCATCACGTACTCCCTCGCCACAGACTCTGAGGCCCACGTTTACAAACCCTACTTCCCCAGCTATGCCAATATACAAAGGCGCCGCCAAATACACGCCGGACCTGGAGGTAGTGCACCTGACCAATTTCTCTGGGGCCCGGGCGAGGGAGCGGGCGTTCGCGATGTCAGCGTTCGTTTCAGGATGGTTATCAAGGTGGATGCAGGAATCGAGAGCGCACTTGCTCTCGATGACGAACTGGTGGTGGCAACAAGGAAGCCAGCAGCTGTGCAATGCATCCGATGGACTCCCGACAACAGCGGAAGCCAGACCAAGACTGAGATGATCAGTCGTATGGGGTGGTTGGACAAGAAGATCACCATAACGGAGATGACCCATGACCGGCCGATGAACCTGTCGACGTGGATCACCAGCGATGGCAAGGCGCATGCTGTCCAACGTGTGTCAGCCCGAAAGTTAGCCGAGGGCGAGGCAGATCCGAAAAAGCTCTTCAAGGGTTACTGCTTCCACTCACCTCGGGGCAAGTTCGATCACGCTCGACGTGCTGTCATCAATGCAAGGTTCTCCCTTATAGCAGTCGGCTGTGCCAATGGCAGCATTCATGTATATTCAGCACGCGACTACGCTGGCAACATCCCATCGTCTCATATCCACACACTCCCTGTTTCCCACACTGTCTCAGGCGCCCTTACAACGCTGAGCTACTCGCCAGATGGTTATTGCCTCTTCGCTGGGTTCGAGAAAGGGTGGGCAACATGGAGCGTATATGGCAAGCTTGGAAGCCACAGCTTCAATTTCGATGATTCGGTTGCAGAGACGGCTGGCGAAGACTGGCTTTCATCTGTCATTGACGCTGTGTGGCTTGGAGGAGGCTCAGAGTTGTTGATGGCAAGTCGGGACCGCGAAGCCATATGGGCGATAGAAATGGCCAGGAGTGCGGTAGCAGGGTGCTACAACTCTGCGAACCTGCTCCGCACTGTCTTACAAACGAGCACCAGTGTCATGATATACCGTGGCTACGATCTCCCCGACCTGGCCTCCATATCGGCAGAACCCTTCCTTTGGCACACAGCCGAAATCCCGCCAGCATATCTGCTCAACCAGTGGCCAATACGGCACACTGTCATTTCTCCTGACGGTCGTTACGTCGCCGTGGCCGGCAGGCGTGGACTGGCACACTATAGCGTGAACAGTGGACGGTGGAAGACCTTTTTGAATGAGGCCGCCGAGAACGAGTTACCAAGTTAGGGGTGGCATGTGTTGGTACCAGCATATCCTCGTAGCTGCGGTGAGGTCAAACCGGACACATGAGATACGACTGTACTCCAGAGAAGCCGCTTTTGGATGTTTCGATGGTTGTGCATTCCCAGCGAGTATCTGCCCCTATCGTTCTGATCACAACGTCGGGTGAAGACTCGCTTCTGGTGTACACTTACGAAAATCTACTGTACCACTTCATCTTTACGCCTTATGCCGGTTCGGTGAGATTGGTGCAACTCGGTCAGATTGCATTCCATGGCATTGTCAGGTCCCCAGCCAGAGTGCGTGGGCTAAGCTGGATCTTACCGGAAAGCCAGCTTGTCGACGGCGACCCATCGCAGGATGTTGCAGTGGCTTCCGTACTCTTCCTGGTCGATGCGAGCCTTGTTCTACTGTGGCCGTCTGTGATAGCGAAGGGCATCTCAGTACGACATGAGGGTCATCTCGCAACGTCGAGTTTATGCAGCATGAGGACAGCCGCCCAGACGTCTGCTCGTCTCGCAAACACTCGACGAAGACTGTGACACAAGCTTGAGGAATGCGCTGTGGGTGTTTGATGCACCGAGTTCAAAGTGTGGCCCGAAATGCAGGATGTCATGCGGGCAGCATCCGGCGAATCCTCTGGCGACCTTCCAGCGACAGTATCCATACCGATTGACTTCTATCCTCTCTCAACTCTGCAAGCCAAGGGCATTCTTCTGGGCGTGGAAGCTGACTTGGTACAAAGGCGTGACCTGAACTTCTCCCTTTTCCGGTTCACCATCAGGGTCAGTTTAACTTCTTTTTGCTTGAGATTCGAGACTTTATCTAACGTGATCCGGCAGACACATCTTTTCCTACCAATATTCTTCGTTTCCTCCTCGTGGACAACAGATCTGCCGATGCTGTCAGCCTGGCACAGCAGTTCCAGCATCTCGAATATTTTCCTCATGCGCTAGAGATGTTGCTCCATCAGGTACTGGACGACGAGGTGGATTCTGCGCCCGTGCCAGAGAAAGCGATTCTTCCACGAGTGCTGTCGCTCCTGTCCTGTTTCAAGGAGTACCTTGATATTGTTGTGCAGTGCACGAGAAAGACAGAAGCAAGGCAGTGGCGGACTCTGTTCGCCTACCTGCCGCCGGTGCAGGAGCTATTTGAAGAGTCTCTTCTCCGTGGATCACTCAAGACAGCCGGGGGCTACCTGATAATTCTTCACACATTGGATGAATTGGGCTCTGCCCCTGAGCAAACTGTGAGACTTCTGTCACGCGCTATGCGCGAACAAGACTGGGATCTTTGCAAAGAGTTGGCACGGTTCTTGGCGGCAATGGACGAGACGGGAGATACATTGAGGGATGCGATGGAACAAGTCAATGTGTCGATAGAACGTATCAGCGACTCACCTTCACCGGGAGGAGGATTAAGCCATTTGCGGCTCCCGGTGAGTCGCAGGGGGCCGAACGGTTTGGGCTCAAAGACGAGTGAGGATGGAGAGGAGTCTGACACACTTTCCGGAAGCGATGCGGCGAGCTTTTCGTCAGAGCGACGCTGAGGACAGACTTGAGGTCGCTTGCATGTAGGAATGAGGCCTAACAAGGTTCTGTGGACTTGCCTGATGTTCCTCTACCTAAACTGTTAGGTGCGGTCGCCTCGCTATTGACAACTATTGGATATGTGCATTCATTCCCTCGTCAGCAACAGTGGCTTGTGGCGGGCGGTTTTACGGTACGACAAGATGCCGCCCGATAACCAGCAGTACTGGCGCACACAGCCCCCCCACCTCACTTCCCCACGGCACCACATGGGATCTTGTCTTGACTGCATCAATCACTTTTGGTGCAGTAGACTGCTTGAACGACCGTCGCGTAGCAGAGCCGCAGCAGCACGCCCGTGAGCGCCATAGGGCACAAGCTACCACCCTGATTCGAGCTTTCTATCTCACAGACTTCGACACCTAGCCAGCAAACGGCGCGACACCCTTTTGGCTGGGCCACAATACAGACCAAGAAGAAGACGCGATTACAGCACGAGCCGTAGCGGCCTTGATCTCTTTGATGCCCAGCACCCGCACCATGGAAGACTTTGTGAGCGAGTCCGATAGCGACTACACTAGCTACTGGAGGGACTGGGTAAGACACATCTCCCCTGTCGTTCTGCCTGCTGGATTGCGCACGTATCGCTCGCGGGAGGCACCCATCAACGTTGAAACAGACAACATGGGCGCGAAGCATGACACCAGCTTTACCCCTTACACTGCACCTACCTCCTATCACGCCTCTTCCCCCCCTCGGCCATGACCACTTGTCGAGGATGCTCACCCTGGCTGTCACGACGCCCATCAAGTCGTGTGACGGCGTCATATCTTTCGTTGTCTCTTGGGGGACACCCGTCTTGATTTGTGCGATCCTTTGCTGACATACCCTGCTGGAAAGTTCATCTCGTCCCGTGGCAACGAGTACTTTTGCGAAATCGACGAGGATTACCTCACCGATCGATTCAACTTGACCGGCCTTAACACGGAGGTCCAGTACTATCAATATGCCCTCGACCTGGTCACCGACGTCTTCGACCTCGACTGCGACGACGATATGAGAGAAACCATTGAGAAATCTGCCCGTCACCTCTACGGCCTCGTCCATGCACGCTACATTGTCACAACACGAGGCCTCCAAAAGATGGTGAGCCATGCTCTTCCCGCTGAAACTCCCTCCCTATCCCTCTTATTCGCATTGCCCCCCCCCCCCCTTATCCCCTCGAGCTGACCATTTTGGCTAATCCTGCATCGATCAGCTCGAAAAGTACAAAAAGGCTGACTTTGGCAAATGCCCTCGCGTCATGTGCCAATCCCACCCTCTCCTGCCCATGGGCCTCTCCGACGTGCCGAACCTCAAGCCCGTCAAGCTCTACTGCACCCGCTGCGAAGACATTTACAACCCAAAGTCGTCACGCCACGCAGCCATCGACGGCGCCTACTTTGGCACGTCCTTCCACAACGTCCTCTTCCAGGTCTACCCCACGCTTGTGCCCGCCAAGAGTATCGAGCGTTACGTGCCCCGCGTGTACGGCTTTCAAGGTGCACGCCTCCGCGGCCCTCATACGGTTGGCAGAACCAGAAGAAGGACGACATGCGCCGCCGCTTGCGGCAAGATGGACGTCGAGGTCGGGTTCAGGGACGA